AACTGCAGCACGAGCCGCCTCCCGTCCCGCCCGCCGTATGTGCGCTCCTGCCCCCATGTGCGGCGGATGAACTCGCGCCGCTCGTAGTTCGCGGGCGACGACTTCACCGCCAGCAGCAAGAAGACACCGTGCCTGCCGGCGCACTTGGCTGGAACGTCCCAGAGCAGCGGGAAGTGGCGACAGTGGCGGTACCGCAGGTAGTCCTGGATGCGCTCAGGCAGGTGCTCGAAGCCGGCCGTGGTGTGTGCCGAAGCATTGGCCACGCACGGGGACCCGGGAGTGAGTGCCGACGGCTGCTCGGCAGCAGATGCAGGCTCCAGGGTGACCTCCTGCTTCTGCTGGGGCCTGGGTGCTTGGTTGCTCCATAGGTGCAGAGCCATGAAGCTCACGCCCACCAGAAGCATAGGCAGGGTCTTGGGCCTCATAGGCTTGCAGCAGGGAAATGCCATCTGGGGGGAAACCGAGTCAGAGGTGAGCCAGCAGTTTAAGACGTCTTTGATAGCGGCGGGATGCCACTGCTTCCCCCGGAGCCTCTCCCAGAATCCCCGGCCCCAGCCCCTTCGCAACTCTGATGTTAGTCCTTAGGCGGTGAAAGGCATCAGAGCATCTCCAGCCTCGAGGCTGGCGCCTCCTTCTGACCTTCAGGTCTGTTGCTCACTGCCTCCTGGCCCACCCTTGTCTCCCGTGGCTCCTGGACCCGGAACACTCATCTGTCCAAAGTCCCAGTCTCCATCTTCCTGCGCGTCCACATCCTGCCCTCCCCGCCCGTTGGCTCGATCCCTAGTTCTGCTGGGCTCATGCCGTTGCTTCTGCGCCCTCACCTGCCTGATGCTTTTTCTCTCCTCTTCAACCCTGTCTAGCTGGTCCTCTCTAATCCATTCCCCTCCTTGCCATCTGCATCAGGGCAGCAGGTGAGCGCCCTGGATTCAGGCCCACGTCAGAATTCTGGCTTCCCATGTAACTGAAGAAGTCTGCTCAGACCCCGGTGTCTGCCTGTTCTCACCCACAGCAAACGGCAGTGGGTTCCTACTCTGCATGCGTGAGCATTCCATGAGCATGAACTGGCCAGCGAATGACTGACGAGAACATGGCCGCTCCTTGGGCACTGGGCGCTCCACCTCCTCCTTCTGTTACCATCTGCTGTCCCCCAAGCAGGGGGGACCAGGACCTCTCTTCTGTGTCTGAACCCCAGTCTGCCCAGGCACACCCAAGCCTGCCTTTCATGAAGACCCCCCAGGACAAACCCCAGAGAGGAACCACCTTTCCCATGGATAGTACGCTCTGCTAAATTCAATTCCATCTCAAACCACTGCATTTCAAAACACACAACCCTCTTCCTTTCACAGGGGCCTCACTCTCTGGGTTTTCCCCTCCCTCTTGGAGCATGTCCTTTGGTTCCCTTTGCTCATTTTCCCCTCTCGATGACCTTTAGGAGCGGGAGCTCCCAGAATCCCAAGAGAAGAGTGGAAAAGGGATTGCAGCATGCCCAACCCCTGGGGGTGCTTTCTCACTCCCCCTTCTCTCTGGAGCATGCACATCTTACAGCAAAACTAACTACAAAAATAAAGAAGGGGAGGTCTCCGAGGCTGTCACGGGTACTCTTCTCCGTCGTGCCGGGTCATCTCCTTTACCACCAGGACCCGCACAGGGCCAGAGCTGCCCTGAAGTGCCACCATCCACCATACTGTTCAAGCCACAGAGTTTGGTTGACTCCTGCCTTTCCTTCGCCCACTCACCCACGCCAGGTCAGTTCTAACTTTCATTCCCTCCAACAGGTGAAGCATTTCCTGCTCAGACGCACAGCCCCCGCCTGGTTTCCACACACGTTGTTCTCTGCGCTGCCTCCTCTGCAGCAGCTGGAGCACCTCGGAGGCAGATGTATGGCTGCTCCTCATGCTGTCCTGGAGCTTCCTGGTGGGCCGCTGGGCTGGGCCAGCAGCCAGCACACCACCTGGGCCCGCCAAGCCCTGTCCTATCTGGGAGCTTCCCCTGCCTCCACTGACCCTCCCTGCCCTGCATACTTACTGCTGCCATCCTCTGGCAAATCCTTGGGTGGCTTTAATGAGGCTCCAAGGAAACCAGTCCCCCGTTAGACACCTCTGGGGCGTTAGTTACTCACTCTTTGCTCCCAGCCTGCGAGCACCTCGAGGGCAGGGCTTGCACCTGTGTGTCACTGTCACCTCCCCAGGGTCCGGGGATATAGGAGATGGCACAGCACAGTGGGAGAAAACTCGCCTCCATTCCGTTCTAGCTGTGTGATTCTGAGCAAGGCGGTGGAGACTTTCTAGTCTCTGCCTCTGGAGCGTTATTGTGAAGACTAAGTGATAGAATTCAGTGTGGTACTGGGCCCATAGTTGCGTGTTCAGAAAATATTTGCTATTATGTTGATCAAGGTGCCAGTAAACACTGATTGAATGACTGCTCTTCCTGGAGTATGTGCGCCATAAACCTTCCCGGATAGAGCAGTCTGTACATACTGTCTCTGCAGTCGGGTTGGACTATGCTCTAGTGCTGTGTGACAGTCCACACAGGCTGGGCACGAAACAGGTGTTTGGGGAAGGAGTGGCAGCAGCTAGCCCCCAGGGCAATGGAGAGTGTCACAAAGTGTCACTGTAACCACGGAGTGCCCGTTACAAACATCAGCTATGTGTGTGTGTGGGGGGATTAATGGAAATAAAACTGCAGATGGGTTAAGTGGAGCAGGTCCTAGTGTTACAAAATGCAGTGGGGAGAATACGGATGCAACAACTTGCTATGTATGCCAAAGGAATGAAAAGGAAGTTTTTGTTTGTTTGTTTTTCTTTTTGTTTTGGCCATGGGGATGTGCCCTTGCTGGAGAGAGACAGAGAGGGAATTTGAGAAATCCTCCCCCTCCCCCCCAAGGAGGGGTGAAGGAAGGCCACACGGTAGTCTGTTCTCCATTACCCTCTTGGGATTCTGAGAATGCACGCACGTGTGCCCAGCATGACTTTCAAGACTCAGGATCCGGGACTTGAACTGTAGTCGGCCGTGTGAGAATCCAGTGCCTTAACTACCATGCCACCTGCTAGCCCCCATGAGGGAGGAATATGAATGTTCCCAACACAAATATTGACAAAGGGTTGAGATGACGGGCGGGCTGATTATCCTGAAAGAATCAGACGTGTTGTTTCTTGTCCTGTAACATCACACTGTGCCCCCAGATAGGTACCATTGTTACATGTTATTAAATTCTTTTTAACGACTATTAGATGCAGGTTTCTGTTGCCCTTAACCTAGCTCTGTTCCGGGGTTGGATGCACGGAGAGAAGGGCGTTAGCAAGACCCACTCTCGCACCATCACCATGCTGGGTGCACGGTCCCATGCCTGGCACATTTGGGGACGCCAATATTTTTTTCAATGATTGAAACAATTTAAAAAAATGAACGAACATAGATTTTGGAGTCTGAATTACTGGACTTGAATTCCAGTTCCTTTCTGAGTTAAACTCTTAGATTTCGGTTTCCTCATCTGAAAAGTTGAGGAGGTGAACACTGAGAAATCATTTTTTTGTGGGAACCAGCAATTAGCGTAATGGCTATGTCCCTGGACTCCCATGTAGTCGACCGTGGTTCGCATCCCGGACCCGGTGGCTTAGAACTCATGCCAGGTGCGTGTGTGTGCGTGCCCAAGATCCCAAGAGGAGAATGGAGGAGAAGGGATTGCGGCATGACCATCCTCCCCTGGGGGGTGATTTCTCGCTTTCTGTCTCTATGTCTCTGTCTGTCTGCCTGGCGAGTGCACATGCACTATAGCAAAAACCTTTCCAAAAAAAAAGAAATCATTTTTTGCGTGCCACAGTACCACACTACATGCCAATGGGCAAATAATTAAAAGGCATTCCTCTCCTCATACCCCTCTACCCTGGCTGCAAATCATTTCTAGAAAGAAAAATAACCTCAACCTAACGTAACAATAAATCTTGTTTCAATGAAACGTGCTCTTACTTTTATAAACCTCAGCCAGGAACCTACTGGTTCTGACATAGAAGGGCACAGTGTCAGCCTGGTCCTGTTCCCCAAGCAGCGTGGGCTGGCTAGGCTCCCAGGGGCTGCTCGGTATGGCTGAGGGCACTGACCGCTGTGGCTCTGTGGGCTTCCCTTTGGGGTGGTTTCTGCTGGATCCCCCTCTTCCCAAAGCACTCTCCCATTCTTCCAGGAGCCCTGCACCTTAAGCTTCCCCAGCCACTGCTGGCCCTGCATGTCTCTCAGGCTTCACCTGAAGTACCACCTCCTCCAGGTCACCCCTTGGTAAGTCCCGGATCAGAACCTGCCTCCCCGTTGATGGCATGGCTGCAGAGTCGCAAAGCTGGGCAAAGAGGACATCTGTTGGACCTCAGGTTCCTTCTCTGTTACTTACCTTGGTCTCAGGATGGCAGGAGTTAATTTGTGAAAGGCACTTAAACCGTGCCTGAAACACAGCGAGCCCCACGGTAATCACGGCGGTCGGTCCACACGGAGCGTTGGTGGACGAAGCCCGGCCTTTGGGTCAGCGCGAAGCTCCTCCATGGCCCTCTCTCCCCATCCACTGTGCCAGAGGTGGCTTGCTGGACTGCACGATGCTTCTCACCCTACCCAGATCCCCCCTCTTCTTCCCCCAGAAAAACTTTGCTTATTGCCTTCTCTAGTTTGATGCTGAGATAGATGGCTGGAACACAGACCCCTGGGCTATCCAGCTGCCTCACACCACCCCAGTAATCTTGGGGGGTGGGAGGATACCTGTACCTGTTAGGGCTCTGGTCCCAACCCCAATGTGAAGCCCTAGCCCTTGGGGGCTGCTTTGGACCCATGCCAGATGGGGCGGGAAGCTTTTGTCCTGGCCCCTTTCCCCTTGCTCTGTGCTCTAAGGGGAGGGGGTGGAGAAAGGGAACACACACACCCCCTTCCCAGGAGGAAGGAGCCCAAGCCCCCCTCTTACCTCGTGTGTCCCAGGGAGAAGTCACAGATAGCAGTCATCCCAAGACTGGACCCAACCTTTAGTCCCTTTGATTCAGGCGCCAGGTGCCACCCAGCCTGAGGCTGACCTGACCAATCCGTGACCTCACTCCTCCTCCTCAGGGGAGGGCAGTTAGCTCATCCTGAGCCAGCACTGCTGCCTGCCTGCCTGCTCTCCAAGCTCCTAGTAGTCTCTGCTAGAGACTACCGGGGTCCCTCTGCATCGAGTCTCCACCGCGTGCAATTTATGTAAATGATGTGTCATTTCTGTGCCCTGGCAGCCATTTTTAAATGTGAGTTTGACTTTCTCTTCCAGAAGCAGGACTGCCCCCCGCCCCCGCATGGCTCCAACCAGTGGTCAGAGATAAAAATTGAGACCGTCTCCGCTCCTGGCACACGGGGTTCCCCACTTTCCTGCCGCTTCCTTTAACTGGGTCATTTGGGCATTTGCCTGTGTGTAGAGCAACCCACATTCTGTTTCCCTGTATCTACTGTT